CCCTTCACTGCTTCTCTTCTTAAAGGGCATGCTGCCCCAGTCTATGCTATTTCAGAAGGTCTTTGCTTTAAAGCTATTAGGGTATTGGGATTTTGCTTGCTTGTTAGGGCTTATCTAGTGTTCAGTATCATGTTTGTCGCTAGACTTGCTTGTTGCTTTAAGCTATTGGTTGTTACTGCAAGTGCTGGTACTTAGTTAAACTTGCAACAGCAAGAAGCTAATGTTTAAGCTGTTGTTTAGGCCATCCGATTGTTCTTGAAATATGCTTGCTGCTTATGGCTCATCTAGTATTGGGAATGTTATTTCCTTAAATTTCTGACTACTGCAACATGCTGTGATTAAGCAAGCAACATGCTTGTTGCAAAGGGTTTCTCAACCTTTTGCCTACTGCGACCCACTTTTTTTTTGTATGCCAGTCATACGACCCACTAAGGCTGGAAATAAATAAATAACTGAAATGCCTCTTTAGACCTAGGCTACACCGTATATGCTTATTATAATTAATTTCACGAAAACACACAAACACTTTCAATAATTAGGTAGACTATGAGGCAAACTGATTTATTTATTTTTACTCACGTTAATGTGACATTTGAGACTGCCGCTCTGAAATGATGATATCCAGACGTGGTGGAACTGGGGAAAGGGCCACTTCCTCACTTGCTGAGCTTGGGGTGATGCTTCCCCAAATATATTATTAAGCAACATTTCCTGCTAAGTTTCTTATTTCATTTTCATTGCTTAACGCTATGTTGGCAAATATGCTATTGTCAAATATTGCTCGTTGTTTAAGGCTAGTTGTTCAGTAACATGTTGGTTTGCTAGGCACGCTGTTGCTTTAGGCTTATTGGTTGTATTTTGACACACTGGTAACATTAACGTTACCCAGTTAAACTTACCACAGCTGAGGCTTGTTTTTAAATCTGTTTAAGACTGTCTGATATGAAACAGGCTTGCTGCTTAAGGCTCATCTTGAAAATCCCGACTCGCAAAGATAGGTAGTGCTAAATGGTAAGAGGAACTTCGTTGCACGATCTGCAAGTTCTGGATATTCGTGTCTGGTTTGAGTCCAGAAGGAGCTCAGGTCTGTCTTGCGAAAAGCAAGCTGCAGGCTGCCGTCAGATGCAAGTTCCACTAACTGCGTTTGCAAATTAATGGGGAGTACAACATCCACATCACTTGGGTCTACTGAAAAAGGATCGCGAATCCACGCATTCCCAACTCTTCGGTCGTTGGGAAAATAATCTGAGAATTTCTGTGTTAATCTGGTCAGGTGGTCCCGGACAATTCTCTGTATGTCGGTGTTGATGTGAGGGAATTCCTGCAGAACATCAGTAAGGTTAGGAAACCTGTCAAAAAATCCCCTGCACTCTCTTCTCCCACAATACCAACTTCCGTTTGAATGCTTCAATTTTGTCAGCCATCAAGAAAACACCGTTGTTTCTCCCCTGAAAGGATAGGTTTAGCTGGTTTAGCTGGTCAAAGATATCTGACATGTATGCCAGTTTCACAAGAAATTCAGCCTCCATATAATGCTTTGCCAGGGTAGACCGTTTCTCCTCCAGAAATGTGTGCACCTGCTTGCGCATTTCGAAAAGACGATTAAGAACTTTTCCCCGTGACAGCCACCTAATTTCATTATGATATAACAACTGGCGGTGGTCTGATTCCAGCTGGTCGCACAAAATTGAAAACAAGCGGGAACTGAAAGCACTGTTCTTCACTAGATTAATTGTTTTGACAGCAATGTCCATCACCTCATTTAAGGGCACTGACATTTCTTTGGCTGCGAGGCTTTCACGATGTAAAAAGCAGTGAACCCATGTCGCCTCAGGTGCTCTGTCCAAAATTTTCCTCACAACCCCACTATGTTTGCCAGTCATTGAGGCCGTGCCATCCGTGCAAATGCCTACGCAATTCTTCCAATCCAGCCCATTCTGTGCGAAATAGCCATCGAGGCAACGGAAACACTCATCTGCTGTCATCTGTGTTGGGAGCTCATTACACATCAGTAGATCCTCATGTGTTGCACCTTCCCAGTTGTATCGTACAAATGCAAGCAACAATGCCATCTTTGAAATATCTGTTGATTCGTCGATTTGAATGGCAAACAAGGGGCTTGCTCGCACTCGATCCAAAAGTTGCGTTTCAATATCATTGCTCATGTCTATAATCCGCCTGGAGACAGTGTCATTGGAGAGTGGGATTTATTTTATTTTGTTAGCAGCACTTTCCCCTAGTACCTCACGGCACATGTCAACTGCACATGGGATAACTAGCTCTTCACCGATATTAAACGATTTCTTAGCATGGGCGATGTGGCCAGCTGCCAGATAACTTGCCTTCAGGGTGCTTTTTGAAGCTGTCGTGAGCGACACAATACTACTTTGCTGTCTTTTAAGTAGGTCTCGCTTTCGTACAAAGTAATCCACAGGTTTACCCACACATGTTGGATGTTTAGTCTATAGGTGACGTTCAAGTTTGGATGGCTTCATGGACTCCTTTGCTAAGACCTCACTACGCTCAACACACTGTGGCTTTTCGTCCGATGCAGTGAATCCATATTTAATATAGTCTGGGTTGTACTTGCGTTGTTTACATTTTGCTGCCTTTGAAGTGGAAGGAGTTTCTGAATCTTCTGCTTTTTTTCTTTTAAAAAATGGATGCATTTTGTCAAGCTAACAGGCCGTGGCTGTGTATAGTAGGTCTGGCATAACAATGCATTGCAATCTCCTGCGCCGTCGTTACCAAGCAACGGGGTAAACAGCTGCTAACAGCTGTGTAACATTACGTAAAGAGAGTAGGACCTTGTCCAATAAGAGACGTTCGCGGCAGCGATCTCACTACGCTCAACACACTGTGGCTTTTCGTCCGATGCAGTGAATCCATATTTAATATAGTCTGGGTTGTACTTGCGTTGTTTACATTTTGCTGCCTTTGAAGTGGAAGGAGTTTCTGAATCTTCTGCTTTTTTTCTTTTAAAAAATGGATGCATTTTGTCAAGCTAACAGGCCGTGGCTGTGTATAGTAGGTCTGGCATAGCAATGCATTGCAATCTCCAGCGCCGTCGTTACCAAGCAACGGGGTAAACAGCTGCTAGCGTGTGTAACATTACGTAAAGACAGTAGGACCTTGTCCAATAAGAGCCGTTCGCGGCAGCGATAAATTATTGTGATAGGTCAGTTTAGAAACAGCGTTAGAAAGTTACGGCAATAATGATTCAACATGCGACATTCGAAAATACGATTCGTTGGAGGTCACTGTTTCAATGAGCCTTTTGTGAAGCGCACTTACTGTGCCGGTGTAACACCGAGAACACAGAGAAAGTCTCGCGACCCCCTACGGAATGATCCTCGACCCACTAGTGTGACCCACTGGTTGAGAAACACTGATCTAGTGTATTGGTAAGGATTTTTGTCTATGCTCACGCGGGTTGTCAGATTGAGGACACGTAACACAACGAGCACAAATGAGATGGACAACCTAGAAACTGATGAGTTGATTTGAGTTATTATATGCTGTTGTTATAGACTTCGGTGTCCATAAGCTCATCAGTCAGCTAGAAAAATAACAATAAAGAGGAGCCATTTTGCTATATGTATGCGCTATCGGATGTTAATATTTTTACTTAACCTGTTGTCTACATGATTCAACTCCTCCTACAAAATTGCATTTTACTAATGAAGAAAAACATTGACTACTGTATATACAGTATTTCAAGTTGGAAAATACATTTATGGCGCATACAATGGAGGACTGCATGGTACGGTACGGTTCGGTATGGTTCACTTTTGGGGGGTTTTCCACTGGGTACAGTACCTGGTACTTTTTTTAGTACCACCTCGGTTTAGGTTCCAAGAGAACCGTACCGTTACCAAAACGTGACGTGTAAACTCTGCTGATCACGGATTGGCCGGAGAGAATCGTCACTACCTGCGTCACTGAACTTGCGCCACAAACACAACAGAACCGCTAGATTTAAATTAGCACAGCTAGCGAAGGATCGAACGCAACTGTTTTGAACGAGCGCACCTTTTTTTTACAACCAAAAAGTTTCGTTGTCTGCTGCGGAAGTACAGACGTTCCTCTCGTTGATAGCAGAGGAGTGGATCCAGCGAGAGCTTTATGGGGCGACGTGGAATGAAAACGTTTTTTTTTAGGAGTGGTGGCAGTAGAGGCGGCGCAACTATAACGACATGTGAATAATCCCGCCCACTCTAAAGCGATACTAAACTGCAGTGGAAACGCAAACCGCGCCGAGCCATGCTGTACCGTACTGAGCCGTGCCGAGCCGAGTCGTACCACGCAGTGGAAAAGCGCCATTAGTTCCTACTTTAAGTGAACCTTAGTTCCCAGGTCATCTACAAGATCAATTAAAATGCTGATAAATTCAAGAAAAGATGAGACATAAACACATGAAAGTATGATTGAAATGTTAAAAAGTAAAAAAAAAATAAATAAAACACGTTTATTCTGTGGCACCTAAAAAAATTAAATAAATAAAACTCGTTTATTCTGTGGCACCTAAAAAAATTATTTGGCGCCTAAATGTTTTTTCTTATAGGAGCCAATGGCTCCTTACTCGATTTTTTTGTTTGGAGCCCTGTTGAACTTTCAGTATCGTAACTTTGCAGATATTGTTTATGCTCAAAAAACAACAATACACATTAACTAATGTTAAAAAAGTGAAATTGCAATCAACCACCCCCTTAAGTTTTGCATACAGTCTACAGCATTGTGAAAGGGATCTCCATTTGTAAAAACAGTAACATCATGTGCATGTGTATTACATGCTCAGTCTATAGGCGCATAGCGTTTCTTTACAAAGTGACATCGCCAACTACTGGCCTGTCAGCATAATAAAGTGCTTTTAGTCATTTTCATGGATCTGTGTGAACAGGGACAGTTTTGACAATGTTTTCGTCGGTAAACAAATGTTTTATCCTTTTATTTTCCAAATGTTCCAATTGATTTTCATCTTTTTAATGATTTCATTTTAGGCCTGATGAAAGTGAAAGAGGAAAGACAAGATCTGAATGAGGTGGAGGAGAAACATCAGGATCAGAAAGATCATGATGTCAATGAAGAAAAATCAGCGAGTTGCAGCATTCAAATAACAGAAGTTAAAAAGCCTTTCAGCTGCTCTCAGTGTGGAAACAGATTCAAACATAAAGGAAGCCTTATGAAACATGTGAGAAGTCATAGTGAGGAAAAGCCTTTCAGCTGTTTTCAGTGTGGAAACACTTTCAAACGTAACGAAAACCTTAAGACTCACATGTTAATTCATGCTGGAATAAAGCCTTTTACCTGTTCTCAGTGTGGAAAGAGTTTTACACAGAAAGGACAACTTAAGAATCATCTGGTAAGTCACACTTCAGAAAAGCCTTTCACCTGCTCTGAGTGTGGAAACACTTTCACACGGAAAACACACCTTAAGAAGCACATGTTAATTCATACTGGAATAAAGCCGTACAGATGCTCTCAGTGTGGAAAGTGTTTCACACAGAAAGGACACCTTTATCATCATTTGGTAACTCACTCTTCAGAAAAACCTTTCATCTGCTCTCAGTGTGGAAAGTCTTTCACACGTAAAGGATACCTTAAGAAGCACATGTTAATTCATGCTGGAATAAAGCCTTTCAGCTGCTCTCAGTGTGGAAAAAGTTTCATATGTAAAGAAATCCTGAGGAATCACATGTTAATTCATGCTGGAATAAAGCCTTACAGCTGCTCTGAGTGTGGAAAGACTTTTACACAGAAAGGACACCTTAAGAATCATTTGGTAACTCACACTTCAGAAAAGCCTGCTCTCAGTGTGGAAAGAGTTTCATATGTAAAGGAAACCTGAAGAAGCACATGTTAAGTCATGCTGGGCAAAAGTAGAGTTGCCAATCTTTCCGTATAATACGGAATCGTCCCATATTTAAGGCATCAAAGAAGCGTTCAGTATTGAAAGCCATACGGAACGCAGTTTGTCCCGTATTTAAGGCATATGCCATATGACCACCTAGATCATACGAATAACAAACTCTTAAATTCTTTTTGGACAAGTGTTTGATTTGTGAACATATCCCTTCGAGGAAGGTTTTAAGACCAAGTGGAATCATCTGCCGTCTGGTAGCTCTCTCCCGCTTCACAGTGAGCGGGACTCACGCTAACTGTTTATTTTAACATCTGTGTTTTGACTTCAGCAAATCAGTTTTGCCAATTGCAAACAAAGTGATTATTTTTCATGAGTCCAACACCCAAACATGCAAGAAAACATGCATTTTACCAGAGTGAAGATGTGCTCAATAAGGGAAGTCATCTTTCTCTATTGTAGGCAATGTTGTTAAATAGATAAAACAATTTGTATTAAAGTAACTTCCAGCGTATTCTTAACCTTGTATCTCATTCTTAAAACAGAAAATGACCAATGAAGCGTCTAGCACCAAAAGCAGCCCATATTAATTCTATAAGTTCTCTTTAATTAAAAAGAAAAGTGCATTTTTATATGTAATATTGTATACACACACACAAAGTTTCTTATGCTTATCAAGGCTGTCTAATGTATTTGTTTACTCAAATTTCTACCAATGTCTACCAAAAAGATGGAAACTTGTAGCAATAGTATTTTTCCCTTTCTCTGATGGATGTCATTTTGTGGCAATTTTCTGTTCACTATATACAGCATGTCTCTTCATGAAAGAAATGTGTAAAAATAGACATGCAAATGTGAATTTTCTGTTTACATGCAACACACCACTACATAAATATATGTACTGTATGAATTCAAATGTACATATTCTTTCTCTGTGTATTATAATATTGACTTTTCCTTCTAAACTTTTACCTACCATTGAAATCAGCCAGTTAACACACCCATGTGGGGCCCAAATGGGTTGCACCTATGGCCCGGTCAATTTTGTCCCATAAATGAACGTCAACTGCTGAGAACCTGATTGATTTAATCTCCATTTATTTGCAGGTGATTTTAACACCTTACAATTATATTTAATTGTGCAAAAAACATGCTGAAAAATGAATCAAACACATCAGGGTTATGTTTAGTAGTAGCAAGGTAATGCCTCGTTCACACTACAAGCAACACCGCGACAAAGCGACACGATCCCTTTCATTTCAATGGAGAGCTAGTAATTTCCGGTGACACGAGTGGCAGTGACCACTGGCGACAGGATGTAGGTGTGTCCAGTGCCTACAATGGAGGAAATGTTCGTAGAGCTATGGCAACAATACTCCTGCATTTGATGTTTCCTCAAGGGACTACTGCAACTGAGTGAACAAAGGCCAAATAAAAACAATATTTTACCTCAAGTTCTCTTTGGAGGATTGACAGTCCATACAGTCCTCTTCATGCAATCCAGGTATATGTCCACTGTCAGGTTTTCTTTCTTGAGCTTTTCTAAGGACAAAACAGCCAGAGCAAAACACGCCATTAGCCATTGTTTGTTTACGCTCAAGGTACCTTCTGTCAGTCGACAGTCCCGCCTTCTTGAAGACAGCACACACATTGTTAAAGACGGCAAGCAATGAAGGGTCAGGTAGCAACATGTAGTCTGAAGGCCATTTCACACTGAGCGCGATGAGAAAGTGCGAGGCGAATCGCAGATGATTGGTGCTTTCACACAGAGCGCGAAACGATTGATCTGCTAATTCACACCTGCACGCTAGGTGGCACTGACCAACAATGCATTTTTCCTCAGATATGCATCTCGTATATATGAAAATACACTAAAATTGTATGTAAAGCGATTGTAGCACACTTTTAAGCAATGCAGTTTCAAAACACTTCTGGTACTTTATCTGACTACACTTCAAATCAGTTTAAGTGTTAGTGATAATTAGTGTATTTATATTAAGTGTACTTAAGTAGCACAGTTAGGGAAATGTATTTATAACTATTGCATTAGCAATATATTTTAAATGAATCAATTTAATTTAAACTTAGGATAACTACATAAAACTGTACTAACATTGATCTAATTTATAAATCATTCAAAGCACACTTATAAGAAATACACTAATAAAAGTCCTCTGTATATTTTTTGCTGTAGTATACTTTATTCCAATGCACTACAAATCTATTTAAATCTCAGTGGTATTTAGTATACTTTTACGATTGCACTGAAGTAGAAATATACTTTTAATTAGTGTGTTTATGGTGTATAACTTTTACAATTTTAACACAAAAAATATAAATGTACTTTCTGGTATTTAAGTATTTTTTTAAGTTGCATTCAAGTATACTTTTTTTCACCTGGGATAGCTTAATCACAAAAGTACTGTAATTACATTCCTTTACTCATTTAATACATGTCTACATTAATAATATAATAACATTTTATACAAATACCCACATTTCTGACACAATACCACAGTGCAGTTAGTGTTGCTGCAATGAATCTATTGCAAATTATGGTGATTTGTACACTGAAAATCCTTCTGACTGTATCGTTGCACAGTTTCTCTCCTGTTTGTCAGCACTGTTTCATCTGACTTTAAACTCGTTTAAATCACTTAAAGGGGTCATATGATGCCATTTCAATTTTTCCTTTCTCTTTGGAGTGCTACAAGCTCTTGGTGCATAAAGAAGATCTGTAAAATCTGACTAAAGTCTCATATCCAAAGA